AAACTATCGCGATATTTTGAAAAGTTCCTCAATAACTGAAAAGTCTCATTGAAATGGAGCTTGAGGTGGTCGTCGGAGAGCACGGCGGCGGAGGCCAGTGCTTGCAGAGCGCCCTGGGAGACTCTGAAGTTGTTGTCCTTGAGAAGATCTAAGCAGCAGTCGACGAGCGACGTCACCTCCGACGAATTCAGGCTCTTTCTTGACACTTCCAGAAGCTGATGCAGGCGCTCCACTCCCGCCATGCGCTCCTTGGTGTCCTTGGCACACGCAAGCTCCAATGCTTCCTCCATCGGAGCAACTTTAGGGTTCTCTTAGGGCGTGATCTGGTGCGGTCAGGCACAGATCTGGTGAATTAGGTGCCCAATGAGGGCATAAGAGAGAGAGAGAGAGAGAGAGAGAGAGAGAGAGAAAGAGAGGAGTGGAGTTTGGAGTTGGTGGAGTGAGAGAGTGAGTGACTGAAAGTGAAATGTAGAGAGAGAAAGTGTGGAGAGAGATGTGGAGGAGGATGATTGTGGCTGAGTTTACAGGGTCTTCCCTCTCTCTTTCGAGTCTAAAGGTTGAAGACGATGTTTGGTTCGGATTGGTGCGTTGGCACCATCTAAAAAGAAGAAGAAAAAGAAGTGGTGCGTTGGGGCACCATCTGAAAAGAAGAAGAAAAAGAAGTGGTGCCAAGTGGTGCATTGGCACCATCTAAAAAGAAGAAGAAAAAGAAGTGGTGCGTTGGCACCATCTGAAAACAAGAAGAAAAAATGTTTGCCAAAAAAAACAAAGAAGAAGAAGAAGAAATAATAATAAAAAATAAAGGTTTTGGAATGGTGTGCTGCACCATGTGAAAAGAAAAAATAAAAATAATTTTTTAATAGAAAATTGTACAACTAGATTGATTAAAAATTATATATAAATGATTATTGTGTGTTTAAACATCTTTCATTAATTACTACATATTTTCTACACTCACAATGTTTGCCAGCTCGCTATATAATCAACTTAAATCAGTTAAATCCATCATGCAATGCATTTCCTTCCAATTTTTTTGTGATAAACTAATAGATAATTGACTAAATAAACATCCTGCAAAGTTTCAATAAAAATTTCCAAGTTTTTCTTACAATTTCCGTGGTTTCCATATTATTTTTATCGATATCGATAATATCCCGATATTTCCATCGATATTTCCGTGTTTTTGAACTATCGATATTTCCGATATCATCGATATTTAATACCTTAGGCTAATTTTTTCTTAAAGTAACTATTTGAAAAGAAAAAAAATTATGTAGACTATCCTAATTTAACTTTATGAACATTTTAACCTAAAAATATTTAGATTCCGACAAATATTAAAAAATCACTAACCGACACCATGAAACTCGTGAAACAGTATGAAAAAAATATGAAACACATAAAATACTTTCTTTTTAATTTACTTTAGCCGTTGGATTTCATCAAATTAGATCTTAACCATTGGATTTAATGAATTTATAAATATAAAACTAAAAAAATATACATATATGGTGGACCAGCCCCACTAATCCTGGGGAAATCCTGGACTAAATTTGGCCCAAAAATAAATTTTGAGTTTTAACTCATATTTGCCCCAAGGGTTGGAGCAAGTTAGGATAAGTTTAGAACCTAAAATTTAAGTTTTACTTCAAGAGTTGGAGTAAGTCTAATAAGGACTAAAATCTAGTCTCAGGTGCAACTGTAGTTAAAATCTAGTCTAAGAGAGAGCGATGGAGTTGATTGGGTTCATTTAAGTTTTCAACATCGTGGTCATCACCATCGGAACTCTGGTGTACATGTGCTAGGATCATTAACATTTTCTTCTTCGTCTTCTGCGGCTGATACTGTTGGTTTCTAATTGGTTGGTTTGGGTGGCAAGCCGGTACATTTTGATCAGCTGATAGATGCAAAAAAAAAAAAAATCATGGTAAATACATTTTCAAAGTATGTGTCATCACTGCTACGTTGGTACAGAAGTTACTCTCGTATAGACAACATGATTAGCCATCTCTACACAAGTTTTTCTCGGTTACTTTCAGGCTAAGTTGTGGGCTCTCTTATAACCTCCCGATAGTATCGGAAAGCTAGATTCCAAATCTTAGACAATCTCCAATAGTGAAGGACATGATTTTTGTAGTGTGAAACTTACTTGTTTTTATTTTTTAGGAATTATAAAAAGGTACTCGATCGAAAGTGCTTGGAAATTTCTTGAAAGAAATTGGTCACTAATTGGAAATATTTAAAAATTTGTACGTAAAATGTGTAAATACGTCAATTGAATAAGAAGGAGCTTGCTTTTTTTTTTAATTACAAGCGATATTCTATACTAATCTCTATTTAGGGAAGGCGGGAGGGTTTGAACTGAGACACAGTGAGTTGAAGAGAAATGCACAATCTATAAGGGCAATCGACCACTTATATTTGTCGCTTAGTTTCACTCTATGTCTCTTAAGACCTCCTGATAGCCTCAGAAAGACAGATTTCAAATCTTAGGCGATCTCTAGTAGTGAACGACTATTCTTAACCCTCCATGATTTTGTATTGTGAAAGTAGTTTTGTAGTATGAAATTAACTTGTTTTTCTTTTTTCTAGGAATTATAAAAAGGTACTCAACTGAAAGTACTTGAAAATCTCTTAAAATAAATTAAGAAAATTCAAAACTTTGTATGTAAAAGGTGTAAACATGTGAATTGTATGAAAAAAGAGTTTTTTTTTGGTTTTTTTTTAATTACAAATGATACTTTACACTAATCATACTAAGGGGATGCGGAAGAGCATGAACTCAAAACATAGTGAATTGAAGAGAAATTTTTTAACCATAAGGGCAATCCACCACTTGTTTTTCTCGTAATCAGGCTAAACTCTAGTTCACCAAAGCCAATTTGGGAGGTGTGCTTTCTATATCAAGGTTTGCTTGTTCATTTTCAAAGGTTTAGTTTGCTTTTATCTTTAATTGAAGAGTCGTGTACATTTAGTATGATATTGTGACATCTTAAACTAATAATGAATAAACAAATAACTTGAGTGCTACGGTGACACACTAGGTGTAGGTTACTTGTCTTCGTCAAGATTAAATTTTATTGGATGGTCTGCTGATCAGAGATGAATCTGAATGGAAAAAATAAATTTATGCATAAAACATGTAGGAATGACTTGTGAGTTATGACTTGTCAGCTTTAATGAAAGTTATGAACTGATGGTGATGTGCCCTTATTTTGTCTTTCTTCATATGTGAACACATTAATTTTTTAAAAGGAGAAGGTAAGGTGCTTGAGTCAAGTAATTTCATTTCTCCTTTTTTTTATTTGACATCTCCGTTGGATTGTCGAGAGCATATATAGAACTTTTGTAACCTTGTGTAAATTAGGTCAACTAGTACAATTATTGAACTCAAATTGATATAGTCTATGCGGGTCTACTCCCTCCTCCCTTGCTTGATTCCCACTTTCTACCTCCGTCTGTCTTTTGCTTAGTTTAGTGCCTAGATAGAGAGAGAGAGAGAGAGATGGGTGGATCATGACTATCTTAGGCCATCTCCAATTGAAGGCTGAAGGGCTCGTTTTAGCCCTCTGACTTTCTAAGAAATTAATATTTTAATGAACAATGCAATGTCATATTTCTTACCATCTCCAACCGAGGGGCCAGAGGGCCATAGACCAAACATAGCCCAGTGACAAAAAGCCATCTCCAATTGAGGGCCAAAGGGTCATAGGACCAAATATAATTTATTATTTAAATTTAAAAACTACAACAACTTAAATTTAACAATGCTTGATGCTATTTATTCAAACTTGGAAGATGTTTCTTCCATCTTGAAGAACAACTCTTGTGGTTTATTGAAAAAATTGAAGGAAAGATTATTGGAAGAGGTAAGAAAATAGAATGTGAAGAATTGAAATAGAATGAAGTGATATAGTATGGAATGGTGAAAATTATGTGAGAACTGGTATATGAATGACTTAGGTATTTATAGGAAAAAAAGGGGGAATTTAAAATTTTTTTTTTAAAAAAATTTGCCCAAAAAAAAAGAGGGAGAATACTGTTAGATATATCCGACACTAAAGAGAACAATATTGTCGGCTATATCCGACATAAATAATATTAATAATAAAAAATCCAGCCAGGCTCGGGGCTGGTTGGCTGGGTTGGGCCAGCCGGTTGGCCCTTTGGCCTTTTTTTGTCTCATGGGCCCACAAGCCTTTGGTCTAACCCTCGGTTGGAGACGATTTTCGGGCTATTTTCGACCCTGTAGCCCTTTAGACCCTTCGGTTGTAGATGGTTTTACTTGGGGCCATGCTACATAATTTTAGCTGGAGTACTAGACCCTCTGTTGATCTCTCGACGGCCTCAAAAGTAGAGATGGCAAACTAACCCATTGAATTATTAATGAATAATTATTAAGATATGTTTAGTTTGTTTTTTATCATAACATAGTGGTGAGATTAATAGTTTTAATGATTGTGTAATACTTTATGGTGATATCAAACTAAATGAGTCTGAGACTCTTAATAACTTTTCATTAATAATTCAATGAGTTAATTTGTCACTTGTACTCAGAAGGACAAATATCAAATTCTATTCAAGCTCCATTGATAAACTATACACTTAGCCCTCCATGATTTTGTAATGTGAAATTCACTTTTTTTTTTCTTTTCAAATTATAAAAATATCCTCAATTGAAAGTGCTTCGAAATTTCTTGCAAAAAAATTGGTCAGTAACTAAGTAATTGGAAAAAATCAAAACCGTGTACGCAAAGCACATGAAGGGAGGGTCGCATCCATGTGTCACTTTTTAGAGAAATTTTTTATTGCGACAAGAACACAAGTGGTAGATCACGTGTTTTAATAGAAATGGTGGAAAATTTTATTTTTTTAAGTTATTAACTTTTTAGCATACATATCTCATTATTTGTATAATGATACGTGATGTATCACCTCGTGTACTGGTCACATTGAAAAACCTCTCCCATTTTTGTGCTTATGTATGTAGTCCAATTCTAAGTAAATTCTGAACTAGTCTTCCTCTCCTTCTCTCCTTCTCTCCTTCTCTCTCTCTCTCTCTCTCTGTCTTGACTTTTTTGTTTCAATAGATCCTCCGAACTACTCTTTCTCTCTCTTACTTTATTGGATCCTCCTTAATTCTGAACCAGTCTCTCTCTCTTTCCTTCTAATTCACAATTAATCTCTCTGCAACTACTACTGGATCTGAAAAATAGAGGTTGTGGATATGGCATCTTCTTGTTCTTGATTTTCATCCGCTGCTGCTCTTGCTGATGCTGATGATACGAAAAAGTAAATGTTGTGGATATTATTTTGAAGGTGGAGAAAACAAACAAGCCCTTGTCAAATTGGTAAGTCAGTGTTTATTGATTGATTCTGTTTAAGGCTCTTTCTGTATTTTTTGTCATTTCTTTTCTTTTTTTTTTGATAGAAAGGCATATTTTGAGAGAAAGGCGTATTTTTTTTCTTTTTCTTTTTACATAAGTTTAGGTGTTATGCTGCCATATAATTTGCTAATTAGTTTTTGTTATGTCTGCTGTTAATTCCTTCGCTGGTGACCTGTCACCGGATGTCACTTTGTTTTGTTTGCATCTTGATCAATTGTCTTCCTTTACATGCTGAGATGACGTTGTTCATATTAAGATTGCAAATATATGAATTTCTTTCATGTTAAGTTTTTCTCGTTTACTTTCAGGTTAGTTTGATTTCTCGCTTACTTTCAGGTTAGTTCGATAGCCTCGGTAATAGAAATGACAAACTAACCCATTGAATATTTATTAATAGATAACTATTAAGATCCATTTAGTTTGATTTCACTATAATATACTAGTAAAATTGATAGTTGTAATGATTGTGTATATCTTATAATGAAATTGAGTTAAATAGGCTGAAACTCTATAATTCAATGAATTGATTTGTCACTTGTGCTCGGAAAGACATACTCCAAATCTTGTTCAATCTCAATTGGTGAACAACTATATTCTTAACCCTCTCTATGATTTTGTAGTGTGAAATTCACTTATTTTCTTTTGAAAATTATAAAAATGTCCTCAAATCAAAGTTGCTTGGAAATTGTTTGGAAATTTCTTGAAAGAAACTGGCCATTGACTTACTGGAAAACTTTACAACCGTGCACGCAGAGAGCGTAAAGGGGGGGCCCCATCCCATGTGCTCCCTTTTTATACTTCAATAACCATTCATCTCTCACGTATTCCTGTGAAGGAGCCTTCGGAACTTTAGCCAATTCGAGTAAATTCTAATAGTCTCCCTCCCTCTCTCTCCGATGATACAAAAAACTAATTGTTTTGGATATTATTTTGAAGGTGAACTTTTCTTCTTATTTTGAAGGTGCAGAAAACAAACAGCCCTTGTCAAATTGGTACAGGTTAGTCAGTATTTATTGATACTCTTTAAGGCTCTTTTCTGTATTTTTTGTAATTTCTTTTTAATTAATAAGTTTAGGTGTTACTAGAAAGTACCACCCGTACATTGCTGCGGGATTACAAAATTCATGAAATATCTTGTTTAAAATATAAAAAAGTTAGTGTTAATAGTAAATTGTTTCAATTTAGGTACAATGAACTGGAACTTTTAACAATCGTACCCAATGTTGTGAGAATAAAGGTTTTTGGCTAGAATAACGCTGAATTTATATGTGTTCCCCATCTGCATTGCGGTTCCTGCTAGAATAAAAATAAATTTACAAAATGATTTGCGTATTTTGGTAAGAGATTAACAAATCAGCTATAATTTATGAAAGTAAATGTGAGAACGGAGAAACACTTTAAATAAAGTTTAATAGAAAAGCTTTTCAATCCAACATCATCCAAAACTATGAAATAACGGAATATATACCAAGAATAAAAAAAATAATTTCACAGATTTAACTTTCACAGCATATAAAACACAACTTTCACAATATTCAAATAATTAAAAAAAAAATTGTTGGAGAAAAGGTTGAAAGGAAAAATCCAAAATTACTTACCTTGAGCATAAAGGGCTTCGAAAGCTGCAGACAAAAGCCCCAAAAAATGAACAGCAAAGTGTTCTCATGCTTAGGTTTGGGTGGCATATCTGAGCATCTGTGCAACCCATATATACACACACATACATATATATACACATACACATACCCTAAAAGTAAGGAGTTATAGTTAAATCTATGCTAAAATAAACAATTAAGTATGAGCAAGACCTCGTAAAAAGTAGGTGATCATATGTGTTCTTCAACTTTCTGTCGAACCTGCAATTAAAGAAGGTGAGCCACCTTGAAAAACATGGTTAATCACCATGTACGACATGAACCAAAGAAACCCACTACTGAAGCTATATATAATCATTGAAGAGAAACCTTTAACATCCAGCACAAAGAAACCCACTACTGAAGCTATATATAATCATTGAAGAGAAACCTTTAACATCCAGCACAAAGCAAACTATAGTCGAAACTAATTGAGCAGGTTAGCTGAAAAACATGTGTGGGCAGTAAAGTATATTAATTTTGAAAAGCTAAGAAGTTAATCAGGAAAAAAGGAAAACACAAACCCACTTATTCACATAAGAAATGCATATATTATCAATTTCCAATAAACAAATGATGAAAGCTCATCTGCCTTCTCAATTTTTAAGGAATCCATCTAAATGAAATCACTCAAAAGCAAGAAATAATTGGTCAAAGCATCCTGCCTTCTCAAAGATAATATCGATTGAAATAAAATCACACAAATGAAACTTAAAAAACAAAAGCACAAACCCACTTATTCAAATAAGAAATACATACACAATAAGCAAGAAGTGGAAGCAGGGAGAGCATACCCAAACAACCAGCAGCCTTCCATCTCCTGTGAAATCTCAGATTTGTCACCAGAGGGAACCAAATGCAAAATCCACTTTAGCTGGTAAAGCCTCGACAAACTGCCACAACTCTCCGCAAAACCAAACCATTAGGGTTTCGTTCAAATTACAAATCCGAAATAACAACTCATATACTGGTGTTATAGAACCTAACTGAGTTTAATAGAAGTGACGATGATCTGAGGAAAGATCATGCCCAAACTGCACTAAAAATTAGTCAGTTCAATTAGGGATTAAATTTAACTAAAACAGTAACACATTTTAACTAAAATGATAACAAAATTCAATATCCTTCACTTTGAATTGGAGATTAAGTAAAAAAAATTATCCACAAATCATCTACATATTCATAATTATCCATGAGAAGTAGAAATTCGAAAAGAAAAAATTAAATCACTTACAGGGCAGGTCTTCAGCAAGAATAGCATTTCTGCAAAACCCAGAATACTATTAAATATAAACAAAAAAAATTGAAATTTTTATTCCTTAAAGTTTCAAACTGTCAAGGTTTTATCCGGGTAAAACCCAGATCAGATTCTAAATGGGTTTATCAAAAATAATAATTTAATCAGAAATTAACACTAAAAATAAATCAAAAACACAAACAATAAAAAAATTGAAATTTTCGTACCTCAAGTTTTTGGGGTTTTACTGTGAATCCAATTGAGAAGTAAGGGCACAAATTGTGGGAGAACACGAAGAGGAAGCAAGCATGTACGCTTAGCTGGTATTGGTTTGACCTAATTTACTTTTTTAAGTCCAATGTGATAGAAAATCCATTTTTGTCTTGATTTTACATGAAAAATACGATGCATGTCCCCTGAACATACTGCTCAAGAAGCAAATTTTGCTTGCTTGCTGCATTTAGTATATAAACCACAATAAGCAATTTACTGGACATAAAAGATAACTACGGAATGAAAAAATATAAAAATTTCAATCTCAAATTGTTTGCTGATCTTGAAAACAAAATCCATGCAACTGAACCTAACTAATACACAACTCGGCTGAGCCAAAGGTTTGAATTTACTGGACATAAAAGAAAAAGGTCACAGAATTTTATTAAGATTTATTTTCCTACGTTTTCTAGGCTACCAAACAATGGAACCCATATCTGCTCCTCACCCAGATTACCAATGAACGCCTATTTTTCAACTAAATAGGAAATTTTCCCACGAAACTGAAAGCTAGGAACTTCGAACAATGAAATCAAACTTCAATTAAACCAATTTACAACCGGATGAGATGGAAAATTAGCTAATTAATTAATTAACGATTTAATCAAGAACAAACCCAGATATCTACAACCCAAATTAAACACAAAATCAAGGTCCTTTCAGAAACATAAGCTTAAGAAGACGAAAATCTGAAACCTTTCAAAAGCGCAGAAATAGAGAGAAAAAAAAAATGGGGAAAAAGTTGGGAAATTTACCAGAGGGGTATAGGTGGAAGCACCGCGAGGAGATGATCGGCACGGTAGATTGAAGCTCGAAAAGGCTGAGCTTGGACTCTGCGGCAGTGGCGAGATCTAGGGTTTTTCCACAGAGAGAGAGGGAAACCTAGATTGGGAAAATAGGGAGAGAAATAGAGACCTTGATTCGAAGAGAAATGGTGAAGCCCTAAATCGAGCTGCTTGGTGCAAAGAAGAGTGAGGCGAGGAGGGAGACGGGGAAAGCAGGAGTCAAGCAGAGAAAAAGGGGGTATAGAGACTGAGTGCTTGTTTGGATATGCTTTTAAAATGACTGAAAGTGCTTTTGGTGAAAATGTTTTTTGAACCAATTCTTAGTAAAAATGCAAGTAAATTTTAGAAAAACACTTAAAGTGCTTCCTGGAAGAAGCACCTAATTGGTGCTTCTTGTAGAAAGCACTTTAAGTGCTTTTGGAACCAAAAAACATTTTCTCTAAAAGCGCTTTTAGCCATTTTAAAAGCACATCCAAACGAGCTCTGAAATGGTGGGGGGGGGAAGCATCTAGAGAAAACGTGAGGCTAAAACGGTGTGGGAACGAAAGGCGAACCTGAAATAACAAAAAAGAAGCAGGGGTGAAAATGGGATGACACTGTTAATGAACAGTGTTTTCTGTGTTGGGTTTTAGTATATGTATAATGTTATGCTGGCATTTAAATTGCTAATTAATTTTTGTTATGTGCGTATCATGTGCCCCATTTTCCACTTTCGTTCATCTCTCACTCGTTGATTTTCGAGCCTTTGAAACTTTGTGCATGTACTCAAATAGCCACCTAATTGCGGCTGCTTCTTCTTTTTAGGAAACTGTGAAAGCCAAATACAACTATTAGGACAATATTTGTGTACTCATTAGTGAGTACTCACCTCTTGGTTTTATTTAATAATAAATTAACACATGTTTTATTCTTTATAATATGGAAAATACTTGGCTGCTGAAGGGTTGTGCAGGAGCTCCTGCTTACACCCAATCACGGGTGGACACGTGTTCAAGTTTTGATTAAATAATCAAAACTTGAACACGTGTCCACCCGTTATTGGGTGTAAGCAGGAGTGGCTGCTGAATTTTCAGCAGCCAAGTGTTGTTCTTATAATATAATGTATATATCATTATTTTTTCTTGGGCTTTTAAAACAAAGAACATGTGTCTATTGGATGAGTATGGAAAATACTTACTAGTGAGTATCTAAATATTATTCCAATTATTTTTGCACAACACCCCAGTTAATTGCATCTGCTATGTGAAAGCGTTTGTAATTTTGTGAAGGCGTTGGTTAGTTTAGCATTATCAATTATCAAATAATTTTTAAGAATGTGAAAGTGACTAATCCTTGTCTCTCCAAATTTTCAATTTTGTCCTCCTAAAGCGTTTGTAACTTTGTGCACATGCCTAATAGAGAGATGGAGTTGATTGCCTTCATTCAAGTTTTCAACATCATGGTCATCGCCATCGGGACTCTGTTGTACCTGTGCTGCAGATCATTTTCTTCTTCGTCTCCTGCGGCTGATTCTGATGTAGCTGATTCTGCTGTACCTGATTCTGCTGCTGATTCTACTGCTTTTAAGGATGATGATGATGCTGATAACCCCCCACGTCGAGAAAAGTATGATGTGTTTATCAGTTTCAGAGGTGAGGACACCCGCCGTACTTTCACCAGCCACCTCCACGCTGCCTTACTTGAGAAAAAAATCACAACTTATATTGATGACAAGCTTAAGAGAGGAGATGAAATCGCACCTGCCCTTCTCCAAGCAATCAAGGAATCAGAGCTTTCGGTGATCATTTTCTCGAAAGACTACGCTTCTTCCACGTGGTGTTTGGATGAGCTTGTGCATATCCTAGAATGCAAGGAAAAACATGGCCAGTTGGTTATACCCATTTTTTACGACACCCTTCCATCGGATGTACGAAAACAACAGGGGAGTTATGGGGTTGCATTTGCTCAACTTGAACAACGTTTCCAGAACAGTATCGACAAGGTGCACAAGTGGAGGGATGCTTTGACGAATGCAGGAAATATATCTGGGTTTGATTCAAAAAATTATGGGTAACTAACTAATTCTTTTAACTTGTATAAAATTATAAATTTTCTTTGAACTTGTCATGATTTTATTGTGCTAAGATTTTGTAGGGTATATATTTATATATTTAAGACTTAACTATTACTTTCCTACATATATATGCCAGGACGGATGCTGATTTAGTTACGAAAGTTGTTGAAGATATTTGGACCAAATTGTGTCGCGCATCATCCTGTGATTTAAGGGGCTTTGTTGGAATTGAAAGCCGCATCGAGCAGGTCGAATCGTTGTTAGGCATTCATCCACCGGACGCTTGCATCACTGTAGGTATTTGGGGAATGGGTGGTATTGGCAAGACCACCCTTGCCGAGGCTGTATTTCGCAGACACTCTTCTAAATTCGAAGCTTCTTCTTTTCTTAAGAATGTTAGGGAGAACTCAGAACAAGCAAGTGGACTAGATTACTTGGAAAAAACACTTCTTAAGGAGATATTAAAGGAAGAAGGTTCATCCATAGGATCAACTATTGTTCGAGAAAGGCTCAGGCGTACAAAGGTCCTCATTGTTCTTGATGATGTGAGCAATTCTATGCAATTGGAACGTTTAGCTGGCAGTCCTCTCCGGTTTGGCACTGGAAGTAGAATCATTATCACAACTAGAGATAGGGGCACACTTGGGCAAACTGTTGAAGAGGATAATATCTACAAGGTTGAGGAATTAAAACCAGATGATGCTCTTCAGCTCTTCTATTCGCGTACTTTCAAGGATAACAGTACCCGTATAACAGATCATAAGGAGTTGGCAGAAAAGGCGGTGGCTTATGCCAACGGCGTTCCTTTAGCACTTACAGTTCTGGGGTCCTTGTTCTTCAATTGCAAGAGCAAAGAAGAATGGGAAGATGAATTCAACAAATTGAAACAATTTCCCAGTGAAGATATTCAGAAAGTGTTGAGAATAAGTTATGATAGATTGAGAGAAAATGAGAAGGAGATATTTCTGGATATAGCATGTTTTCATAAAGGGAAGTCTCTGGTTGAGGTAAAACGAATGTTAGATGTTCGTGGATTCTTTGCGACATCTGGAATTAGAATTCTCATTGAGATGTCTCTCATATCAATTGATTCAAAAACGGACGATTTGCTACAAGAAATGGGAAGGGAAACCATAGAGATGCACGATTTGCTACAAGAAATGGGAAGGAAAATTGTTCAAGAACAAGATATTAAAGATCCCGGTAAACGGAATAGGTTGTTCGATGATGATGATTTCTATCGTGTATTGAGGGGTAACATGGTAAGAGCCAAATGCATTCAATTCTTTTCTTTTCTTTTCTTTTTTTACAAAAAAAAAATAAAAAAAAAAAATAGCAAACTTGAGATGATAACACAACAAAGTAAAACTAATTTATAATAAAGAAGTGAGATTGTTAAAAGATGAATTTGATTGAATATTTATTGTGTTTGGAAGTGTTTGGAATATGAACAAATGTTTGTTTATTTGGACAAGTAGAGGAGGATACAATTATGTTGGATATTTGACTAGACTAAGACACTTGTACATGATTACCATCGCAAATACTCTTTGTTCCAAATGTGCGTTACATTTTAATATGTTTATATTCACATTTAAACTTTCTTCTTATTCTCAGGAAACTCCAAATGTTGAAGCCATACAGGTTAATTGGAATAAGCTTAAATACCGACCGTTGAAATGTGCAGACTTCAAAAAGATTTCTAACCTAATAATGCTAATTGTGGAGGGTGGCTGCAAATTCACCGCTTCTCTAGACCTTCCTGATTCTCTTCGTTATCTTTATTGGGATCAATATCCATTGGAATCTTTGCCGTCAAATTTTTGTCCGGAAAATCTAGTTGAGCTTCATATGCCATATAGCAGAGTTACTAAGGAGCTTTGGAAAGAAGAGCAGGTATAATATATTATATGCCTATTTTAATTCTTGTACAAATTCAAGTGTATAAATTATATTAATTCTTTATATTTCTATTTAATTTGTTGCAGATACTTGTCAACTTACAAGTTATCGATCTGCGGGGTTGTTCAAATCTAACTGAAGTTCCAAATCTCTCTGGGAGTCTAAAAATTGTGCAGATAAATCTCCGGTATTGTAGAAGTTTGGTTGAAATTCCTTCGTATTTTCAACATCTTCACAAGCTTACTCATCTTGATCTTAGTTTATGCACCAGTCTCAAGTATCTTCCAGAGATGCCAGGAAATATTAAATACTTAGATTTACAAAAAAGTGGTATAAAGGAGTTGCCTGAATCAGTTTGGTCTAACGAAAATATTTCTTACTTGAATTTAAGGCAATGCGAAGACCTTAAGAAACTTCCAAGCAGCAGGTGTAAGTTGAAAAATCTTGATCTCGATTCGTGCTATGGATTTGAAAACCTTCCAGAGATTTTGGAGCCAATGGAACATTTGAAGTCCTTAAGTTTAATGCATACAGCAGTTAAAGAGCTACCCTCATCAATATGTGAGTTGAAATATCTTGAGTGTCTTGATCTCTCCAATTGCTTTAGATTTTCCAAATTCCCTGAAATCTTGAAGCCAATGGAACATTTGAAGTCCTTAAGTTTAATGCATACAGCAGTTAAAGAGCTACCCTCATCAATCTGTGAGTTGAAATATCTTGAGAGTCTTAGTCTCACCGATTGCTCTAGATTTTCCAAATTCCCTGAAATCTTGAAGCCAATGGAGCATTTGGTGTCTCTTAGATTGGACGGCACAGCTGTCCAAATGCTTCCTTCGTCTATTGGAAATCTAAATAGGCTTCAAGATTTAAACCTTAATGGCTGCGAAGAACTTGAGGATGTCCCAACAAGTATCTACAGTTTAGCCAATCTTAAACGTCTCAGCTTTATGCACTGTTGGAGACTTGAAAATTTGCCTTCCAGCCCTGTCGGTTTTCTCTCTTTAGAAGAACTAAACCTCAGCCACAGCGGTATATTGGAAATACCAGCAAGCATCAAACAAGCTTCTCGGTTGTCTATACTCGACTTAAGCTTGTGCGGTCAGCTTCAATCCATACCAGAGCTCCCAGTGCTATGTAATGTTGCAGCTCACTACTGCACGTCGCTGAAGACAGTGTCAAGTTCAAGGACAGCACTCACACAAGGTTGGGATAAACCTAAGTATTGTTACAGAGTTTTTACTAATTGCCCAAAATTGGATGATAATTCAAGGAGCAACATAATGGATGAAGCACAGATTACAATTATGCGAATGGCAACTGTTGCGCCAGTAAAGTTACAATTATTCAATTACTATTTCGGGGCTCTTCATCCCTGGCCTCAGATTAACGTTACTTGTCCAGGAAAAGAAATTCCAAATTGGTTCAGCTATCAAAATGAGGGATCTTCAGTAGACATCGAACTTTGTCCAGATTGGTTTCGAACAGGTTTATTTGGTTTCGCTCTCTCTGTTGTTTTTTCTTGGGTTTCAGGCACGCGGCTAGGCACCTGGAGGGTAAGAGCTAATTTCATTGTCAAATTCATGGGTAAAAGCCATGAACTGTTCAGTTCTAAGAGCTTTATCGAGTGCGGCAGCTACACAGCCTACTGTGAGGGCCAACATCACGTGCATGTGTGGAATGAGGCCTTTAGAATTGAAGAGGTAGGAAAAAACTGCTCCCCTGATGTTTACAAACTTGCCAAAGAGGCCTCTGTCGTCTTCTACTCGGACTCTGAAGAGTTTACAGGCAGACTTCCTTCTGGTAACGATATGAAGGTGGACAGCTGTGGTATATGCCCATTGTATGCCGAAGATGCTGAGAAATTCAAATTTGGTCATGTGTTCATGTCGAGGGGACCAAAAGTAGAACAAGAAACAAGACAAGATGATGATTCCAAAGGTGGTGGATCAAGAGATGAGCCTGAAGTTAGTGGATCAAGTGATGAGTCTGAAGCAAATGAAAGTGATTAGGAAAAACTTTTTAAAGCAAATTTGTACTTTGATAGCTCACTTGTCTCACCAAGAAATAAGAGAACAAATAGGCAAGGCTTTTATTATTATCTTTAAAACTTGATTTACCTATATATCATAAACATAGACATTAATTAACACACCATGCCAAGGCAAAGTAAAAATCTCACAACGAAGCGCGATAGTTTGAACCTTCAACACGACAAAAATATGCGATTGTTCAATGGCTGAACTGCAATGAGCAAAAACTTGCTTTACCTTTTTATCAGCTTCAGCTGCTTCTTTGAACTTTGAGTTCAGTGAGTTAACCTCCTCTGTACTCAGTTGATCTACAAGATGTTTCTCCAATTCTGGTACTCTGGGTTTCCACTAATTGGCCTGCTGCTTTTCCTCAGCATGAGAAGGAGCAACTGTCTTCGGTGGCCTTCCTCCAGCTGGGGGTGCCATGTGCTGAGCACCAAGACCAGGCATCAGTTGCTGTTGTTGAAAGCCTTTTACAGTGAAAAATAAGAAACTATTCTCCATCAAAGAAAGACATGTTTCAAAATATAAAAGTGATTTGTTTTATGGATGAATACCAGAAGCAGGTCTCCAGGCTACATTGCCAGCATTGGAGTAATAATTTGCAGGTTGAAAAATATTGGATAAATCAAACATAACATTGCTTGGTAGCACGCTGGAAGAGGGCGTCCCTCCCTAAACCGCTCCATCAAAGATAATGTCGCATGATTGGTAGTCATTTTATCAATCTAGACTGCACATTTAGACATGACTCAATTTAATAGTATATATTTATGGATGTTTGTATGTCAATTGGCCAGCAAACGATTACTCCCAATTACAAATAAAATTTTATATCTACAAAATATCTATGGCATATGTAAGTTTTTACATCAAACTACGAACACATCATGCAAAGAATGAACATCCAGCAGCAAAGCATCTCGCAGAAAAATATGCTTGATTGAGCCTGTTATGTTCAGCAATTCAAGCTAATGAGAAAGTGCATTCATATAATCAATATTTAACATAATATGCCCCTGGTTATCATTTTATACGGAAATTCCTTCAGCAAAACAAGTATACGGCTTCAAGAACCTATTTGTCGATATGATCCTGACCCAAGAACATTTCCCCTGTATGTGATAATCCTAACTACTCCATGGTCATCTTATGCTGCAGGTTTTCACTACTGCACAATTCTAATGTAATAAACAATCCTTGATCAATCCTTGGGTCATATAACACATTTCTAAAGTCTGTTTACCACCTCAGGTCGAGCGGATACACCAAAAGGTGACCTGATAACATAACTCTCTCAACCTCACTAACAGTAGTATAAATTCTTCATCTACTTAATTTCTACCATTTGAACATCAATTCCGCATTTATACTAACACGAAATAAAAATCTCAGCTTAGATAAGAGAATTAAGACATCCGAACTCACATTTCCCACTTCAACTACAATTAGACTACAAATTCAAAATCAATCTGATTCGGAAAACAGTTCCACCACCATCAAATCCCGATCAACCACTACAATTACATAAATATAATCATACACACACATCCAATTACACATATATACACAAGCATACACACACACACACACACATATATATATATATATAGAGAGAGAGAGAGAGAGAGAGAGAGAGAAAGAAAGAGAGTACCTGCGCAAGGACCTGTTTGGGGAGACCAGAGCCCTGGAAGAAAGCGACGGCTTCATTGCCACTAATCCGGCCATCGCGGTCCAAATCGGCCCGTCGGAAATACGCATCGAAGAGATCCACATTCGCCGATTGGTTCTGCGGCGATGTCATCGCCACCGTCGGATTGCGATTCGCGGAAGATCAGACCACGGAATCAATCGAGAGCGCCGCGCGCTCAAGCTGCAGTACGCGTAAGGAACGTCGGGAAGAATCAGAAAACCACGAATTCGGAGGACCATGATTTCGTTGCCTTTCTTCTCCGATCCGGAGGAAAATCAGAAGACGACGGAGACACAGAGAGATGCCGATAGTTTGAGTTAGAAAAAGATCGTCGTTAATCGATTTTTCGTTTCGGTTTTTTGTGACAAAAATGGGACTGTATTTGTTGTGATATTTCAAAATTGCCACTGGTCCTCATGAGCCAGGCCCATTAGGTACTAGTACTACCACGACAAAATACAATTTAGAAATCATAGTTGATTAGCAAGTTTATGTTTTCGATTTGTCAACTTGTACAAAGTGGGGAAACAAAAACGTGCACATATAGAAAGGTACAAATTAATGCGAGATTGAGAAGGAAGCTACAATTTAGAAATCAGATTCATTTGTTTGTTAGATATTTGATATGTTATATTATTAGACTCTAAATCGCAGCTGTACATTTAAGCATCGTTTTGTAAATCCGTCTAAAGAGGAAACCTAATTGATAATCTATACACACCCATATAGATTAACTACTCTTATCATGTCCAACAAGCAACTTATGTCCACGACGATGTTGTGTTCACGTTTCGTCGCTTTCACGTTCTCTTCTTCTTTAAGGAGGCGATCAATGATCAGTGTTCTAAAACATGATTATAAACCATTTAAATAACTTCATAGTTGGTACAATTAAGGCATTTTGATTAACCCCTTATGTGATCGCCTTATTTTCACTATTTAATTAGTCCCTGAAACTTCTTGCATTACATGATGTGCATGGAAATGTCTATTAAATAAAACATTGGGGATCTTTGAAGTAGTACTATGTTTCGGATCAAAATCAAAGAACCGGCCTAATAATTGATGTAATTAGTAAATATTGACACATAATGTAATGCATTCTTAATTGGAGCTACAACCTTGTCTAGTTTCCATTTTTTTTGTAAGTGTATATGTTAGTTTGGCGTATGTCGTCGGCCACTCTAGATTGAAGTGTGCAACTCTGTTGTGGGAGCTTCTTTTGTTCTCAACTGTAGCAAATGTCTCAATCACCGAGACGAATTTCTCCAATTTTATCAAGTACATGTCGATTTATGTGCTCGTAACTATTTTTTAACATGAATAGTTGCACCTTCTTATTTGCAAATGTTAAGAACAATTGCTCACGTGTGCGTAAACGGTAGGTTATGAATATAGACATAACTTGGATTCTAATTGGATAGTTGGTATTACAACATAAATAATAAAGTTAAACATTTTTTAGTATACCGAAAACACGATCAGATACACCAAGTGTTGTTTTCCAATGGACTATATTTAATAAGTTACTATTAAAAGATAACTCTTGATTTGATTAATATGAAAAGCAAAGGAAATTAGGGTATATTATATTAATATGAATATTACTTAATTATTTTATCAGACATTTATCCATTAGCTGGTCGTGATTGGACTGAACAGTTGGCTCAACTGGTGTAGCTAGCTAATGGGAGGCCTGGACTGCATACGGCGCTTCCCCAACGCCCACTTCCACCGCCATTTATGTCCCCTGGCCTCTCCACCTCCTCCGTCTTCATCACCGCCGGGAAAAACCCTTATCCTATTCTCTCCCACATCAAACACCCAAACAAGAACCTGCGCAAGAACCTGTTTGGGTGACCAGAGCCCTGGAAGAAAGCGACGGCTTCATTGCCACTAATCCGGCCATCGCGGTCAAAATCGGCCCGTCGTAAATACGCATCGAAGAGATCCACATTCGCCGATTGGTTATGCGGCGATGGCATCGCCACCGTCGGATTGCGATTCGCGGAAGATTAGACCACGGAATCAATCGAGAGCGCGCCGCGTGCTCAGGCTGCAGTACGCGTAAAGAGCGCTGGGAAGAATCAGAAAACCACGAATTCGGAGGACCATGATTTGGTTGCCTTTCTTCTCCGATTCGGAGGAAAATCAGAAGACGATGGAGACACTGAGCGATGCCAATAGTTTGGGGTTGAAAAAAACGATGATTTTTCGTTTTTATTTTTGTGACAAAAATGGTGCTGTATTTGTGTTATATTTCAAAATTGCCACTGGTCCTAATAAGCCCGGCCCATTAGGTACTACCACAACAAATACAATTTAGAAATCGTTGGTTTGCAAGTTTATGTTTTCGATTTGTCAACTTAATGCGAGATTGAGAAGGAAGTTACAATTTAGAAATCAGAGTAATTTGTTTGTCGGGATATTTGGTATGTTATATTGTGAGACTATAAATCACAAATATACATTTAGATATGTAAATCCGTTTAAAGAAGAAACCTAATTGATAATCTATACACACTCATATAGATTAACTACTCTTATTGTGAAATCCCGTACTCGTATTTCACTGTTACAATCTACGTATTTTTGTTATTGAGATTTTATATTATTTTCTGAGAATTTATACTAATTTATTTGAAATGAGATTTTAGTAAACTAGTTATGAAGAGTGAAGTTTGGAAATCAATTATTTAAAGTTTAGTAGAACTTTTGAGGTCAAAATTTATATTTTCAATTAAAGCTTGATCCAACGAACGCGTAGGTGAAAACCGTTTGTGAAATGAAGTTATAACGAAGAATTGCAGACGTTTTAGTTATTGGGAATTAAATAATTAAATGTTTAGAAGCTGCCAAGTGGCAGCAAGGGAGAGGGGAGAAAGGAGAGAGTGCGGGAGAGAAAAGGGGGGACCAATTAGGAGGAAGAAAAAGGAGGGAAAGGAGAGGAAAAAGGAAAGGGGATCGGCATGATCCCCTGACCCGCGACCTCGACCCGTTTTCACCATATTTTCCGGTGGTTTTCCACCGGATTTCTCATGAATTAGACCAAGTCACCACTCCCAATCATTTCCTAACCCTTCCTTCTTCCATTATCACCCAAATTTGGGAAGGATTTGAGGGTATTTTGAAAGTAAATTCACGGGGGTACACCGGAGGTGGTGTGGCGGCGATCCGCCATTTCCGAAGTAAATCCCGTCAACCACCACCACCATTAGACTCCCCTAGAACCCTGGAACAAAGCCCAAGCAATGGTGGAGGCGTCAGAACAAGTTTGGAGGTTGAATCGAAGCATACCCAATTCTAGGGTTCCGCACAATTTTGATGAAATTGAGGGGTTTCCCGACCAAATTGGACTTGGCCACAGGTATAACGTTTGCTCTACTCTTTGAGATCTTCATTTCTGTAATTTTTGGTAATTTTTAAAAATAGTGGAATTTTCCGGCGAGTCGGGGCAGCCGACCGCCACCCACGGCGACGGCCTGGCCAGTGGGCCGACGATATTCTTTTATGTTCAATTAGATACCCTGATTTCATAATTGATATCCTTATGATATGGTTTGATTGTTTGAACCTAATTTCATTACGATACGTGGTTAGGTCAAATTATGATTCGACGATCCGACCGTCGGATCGTCACCGAACCTTAATGCGTGATAGAACATAATATTTTTGGATCATAGAAACTTACGGATCAAGAATCCGACATACGGATCTTCTCTAATTGGATTTCTTAGTTTGTAAAATTAAATGTCGACCGCCACTTGAATTTTGAAATTGGCGGAGATCCGACCATCGGATCGTGTTGAGATTTTAGTATGTTGTTATTTGAGCATAATGTGGACATTGAGAAGTTACAGATCAGAAATTGGATAGGTGGATCTTCCGATTTAGATTTTCTAGGGTTGTAGACCTTACCGTTGACCGAGGGTTGACTTTTGGATAACGTGTCTCGAAACGTCCTAATTAATAAAATTTGTACTACGGAAGACTAAGTGAAGTCTAGGGGGCTTGCATTGGTTAGAGAGTAACTTTAATATATGGGCTATGGTGATTACCTTAAATTATCATATTAATATCATTTGTGATTACGACTTGGTTTTATAAATGTGATTTCTATTGAAATATGATTTTATATATTTAGCCATAGACCTATTGTAGACATCGAAATTTTGGTAAATAAATGTTGACTGATAAATCAAAGTTTCAACGCTCATGTATTACATAAATTTTACACGTAGCGTATGACTCGACGAAAATTGAAATGAGTCGGAAAAGTCATCAAACATGACACATGTCAACACCTGGCAGAAACAACTTATTTCATCTGGAATATTATATTCAAAATTAGGTCTTGGAAAATTCTATAAATACAAGCCATTTCATTCATTTTGGGGAACCAATTCAAAACCAAAATCATTAGGCAAAATACTTGAAGCTCTGAAACTCCGAAGCTCTCAAGCATCCAGGTTCCCGAAGAATCAAGAAAGCCCTCTTCGTTCTTCGTTCATCGTCTCTTCCAAGATCAAGCCCCAACGGCCCTTGGATCAACAATCATCCACCTTCAAGATCAAGCCCTGACGGCCTTTGAAGAACTTCCACCAATTCAAGATCAAGCACCGACGGCCCTTGAAGAAAATGTTCATCAACAATCATCTACCTTCAAGATCAAGCCTTGACGGCCCTTGAAGAAAGTGTTCATCGTTCATCAACTGTTCATCTTAAAGGATCAAGCCCCAATGGCCCATTTAGATCGACAACATCAACGAATCTGTTCATCAACTGTTCATCAAGCTCAAACCCCAATGGCCCCTTGAAGATCCGCTCATCCGCTGTTCATCAAGCTCAAGCCCCGACGACCCCTTGAAGAACTTTCACCAATTCAAGATCAAGCCCTGACGACCCTTAAAGAAAGTGTTCATCGTTCATCGTCCGTTCATCCTAAGATCAAGCCCCAACGACCCTTTAGATCAACAACGTCGACAAATTCACACAACCAACCACCCTTCAAGATCAAGCCCAAAAGCCCTTGAAGATTCGTTCATCATTATTCTTCAAGATCAAGCCCAAAAACCCTTGAAGATCCGTTCATCACCGTTATTCAAGATCAAGCCTCAACGGCCCTTGAAGAAACTTTCAACCGTTCATCCAAGATCAAGCCTCGACGGCCCTTGGATCAATCGCACATCCACAAATACACACCTTACGGAGATCGAATCAGAGGATCAAATTTGAGAGAGATTGTAACCCAAAATCATCAAATACAAAATACTATTTTGTGCACGTTGTTCTTGTCTCTTTCGTTTCAGGAAATTTTCGTGTTCACAAATTTATCACGCCC